AAGAAGAGAAAGGAATAAAAGAAACATCTGAAGTGACAATGACTGAGGTTACCTCAAACTAATGTCAGACACCAAAACACAGATCCAAAAAGCTCAGAGAACACCAAGCAGGATAAAGAGCCAAAAAAACTATATCTAGGCATAGCAAATTCAGATTGCTGAAAATTAATGATAAAGAAAAGATTTTGAAACAAGATAGAAGGAAAAAACAGCTTTAGGAAAACAAATATAAGAATCACATCCAACTTCTCCTCAGAAACCATGCAAGCCAGGAAGAGTGCAATGAAATACTGAAAGGGCTGAGAGAAAAATCGCCAACCTAGAATTCTTTACCTTGTGAAATTCATCTTCAAAAGTGAAGGAGAAATAAAGACTTTCTCAGACAACTATAACTGAAGGGATCTGTCACCAGCAGACCTGCCTTGAAGAAATGTTAAAGAAGCCCTGCCGAGATAAGGAAAGTGACATGGGTGAGAAACACAGGTCTCCATAAAGGAAAGAAAAGCAGAGAAGGGACAGGTGAAGAAGGTAAAGTAACAACTTTAATTTTCTTATTCTTAATTGATCTAACAGATATCATTTCGTTCAAAATAATAATAGCAAGATGTATTTGATTATGTATGGATTATATATATTATGTGTATGTTTTGTTATAAGATACTTGTGCTGTGAAGCATGATAGTATTATTTGAAGTTAGATATTTGGATTGGTTCTAAATGTACATTGGTAACTCTAGAGCAACCACTTAAAAAAGTAAAAAAAGAGAAAAATGAAATTATATAAAATATTCAATTAAAACTACAAAAGGCAGAAAAAGAGAAGACAAAAATAAGAACAGAGAACAAGCACAAGGAATAGAAGAGTAACAAATACGGTAGATATTAATACAACTATATTAATAAATCATTTTAAATGTCAATGGTCTAAATACACCAATGAAAAGACAGCTATTGCCAAAGCAGATAAAAAAAAACAAGACCCAACTGACTACATGTTGCCTATAAGAAATCCACTTTAAATGTAAAGACACACATGGATTAAAAGTAAAGGGATAGAGAAAGAGATACCATTATAATACCAATCAAAAGACAACAGAGCAGACTTCACACCAAGGAAAGGTATCAGGGAGAAGCAACAACAATACATAATGATAAAGGGGTCAATTCTCCAAGACAACATAATGCTCCTTATTGGCTATGTGCCTAACAACAGACCATCAAAATACGTGAGACAAAAAGTGACAGAACTGCAAGAAAAAACATGAAGCCACTATTATAGTCTGCACTCCGACTACAATGAAAGTAAAACTAAATAACAGAAAGACAGCTGGAAAATTCCAAAATATTTAGAGAGTAAACAACGTACTTCAAAATAATACATGGGTCAAAGAACAAATCTCAAAGAAATTAGAAAATATTTTGAACTAAATGAAAATACAACTTATCAACATGTTTGTAATGCAGTGAAAGCAGTGTTTAGAGAAAAACTTACAGAATTGCGAATGAGAAAAGACGACAGACCTAAAATCAATCATCTAAGCTTCCACCTCAGGAAAATAGAAAAAGAAGAGCAGGTTAAATTCAAAGTAAGCAGAAAGAAAGAAATAATAAAAATTAGAGCAGATATCTAACAAATAGAAAAAAAGGAAATCAATACAAAAAAAAGAGGTGGTTCTTTGAAGATCAATAAAAATCAATAAGCCTCTAGCTAGGCTAAGAGAAAGAGAGAGAAGACACATTACAATTATCAGAAATGAAAGGACAACATTACTACAGATTTGGACATTAAAAGGAGAATAAAGGAACACCACGAACATCTCTTTGCCTGCAAATTTGATCACCTAGATGAGTGGACCAATTTCTTGACAGACACCATCTGCCAAAACTCAGACAAGAATAAATAGACTATTTTAACAGGCCTATATCTATTAAAGAAATTGGATCAATAATTATTAACCTTCCAAACAGAAAGCACCAGGCCCAGATGGGTTCATTGGTAAATTCTACCAAACATTTAAGGGAGAAATTATACTAATTTTCTACAATCTCTTCCAGAAGACAGAAGTAGAGAGAATACTTCCTAACACATCCTTGGAGGTCAGCATTAACCTGTTAACAAAACAAGACAAAGACATTCTAAGAAAAGAAAACTATAAACCAACACCTCTTACAAATATAGATGCAAAAATCCTCAACCAAATATTGGCAAATTGAATCCAACGATGTATAAGAAGAACTATACACCATGACCAAGTAGGTATTCCAGGTATGCAAGGCTGGGTCGACATATGAAAATCAATTAATGTGATCCATCACATTAAGAGACTAAAGAAGAAAAATCATACAATCATATTAATAGACGCAGAAAAAACATTTTAAATCCAATGCCCCTTCATGATAAAAACTCTCAGCAAACTAAGAATAGAGGGTAAATTTCTGCAACTTAACAAAGAACATCTACAAGAAACCTACAGTTAACATCATACTTAATGGTGAAAACGTCGGTTTCATCAGGAACAAGGAAAGGCAGACCCTCTCTCTCCAATCCTTTTCATCATCGTACTAGAAGTCCTAGCAAATGCAGTAAGATAAGAAAAGAAAAGGTGTATTATTGATTGGGAAGGAAGAAGTAAAACTGTCTTTGTCCACGGATGACATGAATGTCAATGTAGAAAATCTGAAAGAATCAACAAAAAAACTCCTGGAACTAATAAGTAATTATAACAAGGTTGCAGAATACAAAGTTAATATACAAAAGTCAACTGCTTTCCTATATATGAACAATGAACAAGTGGATTTTGAAATTAAAAACAATGTTATTTCCATTAGCACCCTGAACATGAAATACTTTGGTATAAATCTAACAAAATAGGGACAAAATTTACATGAATAAAACTATAAAACTGATGAAAACATTAAAAAGGAACTAAATGGAGAGATATTCCATGTTCACAGGTAGGAAGACTCAATATTGTCAAGAGGGCAGCTTATATCAACTTGATGTCTAGATTCAACACAATTTAAATCAAAATCCCAGCAAGTGATTTTGTGGATATCAAAAAACTGACTCTGAGGCGTACATAGAAAGGCAAAACACCCGGAATAGCCAACACAATATTGAAGGGGAAGAACAAAGTTGGAGGACTGACTCTATCCAACATTAAGACTTAATATAAAGCTCAAGTAATCAAGACAGTATGATATTGGGGCAAGAACAGACCAATAGATCTATGGAAGAGGATAGAGGGCCCAGAAACAGACCCACATAAATATAGTCAACTGCTCTTTGACAAAGAAGCCAAGGCAACACAATGGAGCAAAGACATTCTTTTTAACAACTAGTGCTGAAAGAACTGAACAGCCACATGTAAAAACGAATAAAAAAACAAAAGAAACCCCTAGACACAGACCTTACACTCTTCTAAAAATTAACTCAAAATGGATCACAGTCCTAAACATGAAACACATAACTGTAATACTCCTAGAAGATAACAGAAAAAAATCTAGGTAACCTTGGGTTTGGGGATGACTTTTTAGATACAACATCAAAGACATGATCCACAAAAAAATTGATAAAGCCAAATTTCATTACAATTAAAATTTTCTGCTCTGGAAAGACACTATCAAGAGAATGAGATAATAAGTCAGCTGACAGAAAATATTTGCAAACAACATATCTCATTAAGGACCATTACCCAAAATATACAAACAACTCTTAAAACTCAACAATAAGTGAACAATCCAATTGAAAAATGGGCCAAAGACCTGAACAGAGACCTCATCAAAGAAGATAAACAGATGGCAAATAAACATGTGAAAAGATGCCCCACATCATTTGTCATCAGGGCAACGCAAATTAAAATGAGAAACCACTTCAACCTATTAGAATGGCCAAAATCAAAACCACCAACTCCAAATGCTGATGAGGACGTGGAGCAACAGGAACGCTCATTGCTGTTGGGGATGCACAGCGGTGCAGACACTGTGGATAGTTTGGCGGTTTCTTGCAAAAATAAACATATTCCAGACAAATAAATAAATAAACATGTTCATACCATATGATCCAGCAGTTTCACTCCTTGTATTTACCCAAATGAACTGAAAACTGTATCCACACAAAAACCTGCACACTGATATTTACAGCAGCTTTATTCATAATCACCCAAATCTGGGAGCAACCAAGATGCCTTCCAGTAGGTGATGGATAAACAAACTGTGGTCCATCCAGACAGTGGAATATTATTCATCGCTAAAAGGAACAAGCTATCAAGCCATGAAAAGGTAGAGGGGTCTTAATGCACATTATCAGTGAAAGAAGCCAATCTGACAAGGCCACACACTGTGATTCCCACTACATGACATTCTGGAAAAGGCAAAACCATGAGACAGTAAAAGGAACGGTGGTTGTGGGGGAGGAAGGGGTGACCAGGCAGAGCACAGTGGATTTTAGGGCAGTGAAACTATTCTGTGTGACACTCTAATGGTGGACACATGTCACTGAATGCACAGCACCAAGAGTGGCCCTAATGCAAATGAGGGACTCTGAGTGATGATGATAATGTGTCCATGTAGGTTCGTCGATGGTGACTAATGTCTCCTCTGGTGGAGACACTGACAGTTGGGGAGGCTGTGCCTGTGTTGGACAGGAGGCATATAGAAATTTCTATAGTTTCTGCTCAATTTTGCTGTGAACCTAAAACTGCTCTAAAAAATAAAGTCTGCTAAAAATTTTGTGAACCAATACATACCATCCTATATTTCCTATTTCATTCTATTTTTTCTTTTAACAAATTTTGGTGACCACCCCACTAACTGGCCCAAAGGAAGTCAGCAAAACATTGCTCTAGGAGTGTCCCCAGAGGCCCCATGAAATGCATTCCCTACCCCACAGGCGACACGCTCCAAACACCACATTCAGCTCATTCAGTTAGTGGACAGAAGGGCTTCCCGATCGCCAGCCACCAGCCCGAGGCTGACTGGCCCTGTGGGCTGTTCAGTACCTGGAGGAAGGGTCTCCATGCTTTGTGCTTTCTCATCCCCGTTGCTGTGGTGAAGGTCTTTCTTTTTAATTGGGTCAATGTCACTCCAGTCCTCCTAGGGGAACAAAGACACCAGATGAGTCGATTGGTTCTTCAAGCACACCTTCACTCATCAGTTCAATCAACACTGGGTCCTATGATGCCAGTGACCCCGGGAGGCAGGGATGAGTGACGGAGAATTCCCATCTTGGGGACCCGCATCCCAGAACTCTTAGGTGGTAAGAGAAGCCTGGGGAGCAAAGGGTGGGGTGCCTGTTCTGAGTGAGGAGGGTCTGCATGCCTCTCTTCATTTATATTTGTATCGCATATCGACAGGAAAGAGATGCTCTGCAAACTGCCAGGGCTTTGGGGGATCTGTGCAAGTGGGGAAGGCAGGCAGGGAAAGTGGATTAAATAAAAGAATTTAATAGTGCTTAAATTAAAGCCACTAAAATCAGAGCAGCTCTCCAGACATCTTAGATGGTTTCAAGATGCCCTAAGACCAGATTTGTTTAATTCCACCAAACACCAGTGGAGGGAGGGGACAGGACCCTCCGAGTGTTCCATAGGGCTTACTCTAATAGGACTGCCAGTGGCATGGAGCTGCGAATTAAGGGCTTAATGTGAAGCCAAAATAAGATAGAAGCTCTGGCAGAATTTATTCAACTCATCTGCACAATTTACTCCATCAATATTAAATCAAACTAAATAACAACTCCATGACCAGAGAGCTAAATATATTTTTCAACCACTTGGAATCTGATTCCTGTAAATAAAATAAGAAAGGTTTCTATACATAACCCAAATCAGAAATACCCCCTTGGCTAGTCATTTACCCACACAGACTTCTGAGAGCCAAGCGTTTTCAACTGGCCCTTTCTCTGCACAGATGCTACCAGGACAGGGACAGCCTTCAGCCCTCCCTCAAGGCAGACCCCACTGGATCTGTCTGTGTGGGATGGTCAACCAGCATTCCTCCAGATGGACAAGGACAGTGGTAAGCTGACCACTGGACACTTGACTCTTTACAATGGAAAGTGAAAGTTGCAAGAATGGTAACCTTCAGGGCTGGGCCACATCACACATTTCCCCCCACAGGTAACTTGCTCTGCTAACAATCTGCATTTTTACCCCAAACCTACAGTAATTAAAGAAAAATTGTTCCTAAGCCTCCTCCCTCTGGAGGCCAGCTTTTCTTGAGTTGCTTCTGCAGGGAAGTGATACAGCCGGGCTTCCCTTCAGGGCCACGTGAAGTGATGGGAGGGGGCACCCCAGGAGGATGACCCCACTGCAGACCAGGGCTGGCGACAGGAACCACCCTGCACCTGTCTGGTTCCAGCCCCACCCCTGTCACAAGGCCTTTCTCAGGCCTTCAAGTACCCCAAGTGCTGTGACTTTTGAAGATCCTATCCCACATGGTAACAACTGTATTAAAATACATTGGTGTCCCAATTAAAATTTTTTGCAAGACATTTATAATTTGGCTTTTGAGATTATTTGGTTATAAATAAACTTTCAATTTACTATCGGCAATGATTTGTGCGGTAATCTCGGCAAATGTGTGAGAGAGCATTGAGCCTACGAGCTGCCTTTCCGCCATTAGGAAATAACCTGTGGGTACTAAATCCAGCAAGTACAGCAGTTACCAGAGTCACACTGTGAGGCTTTTAATTAAGCATTATTAATCTTCATTTTGTAGCTTGCTTGAGCATTTTGTGCCTAATAATTTTTCCCCTCGGCACTTGGCCTGCTACATACATTGGCTAATGGATCTAACCATTTAACCTTGTACTTGAATAAATGCAAAAGCGAACATTGCTGGTGCGGCCCATGACCTTAGTCTTCTTTTCTACATGTAAGGATCAAGGCATTATCGCAGTGCTCACCACATAAACACCTGCACCAACGTTTTCTCAGAAAATACATGTTCTTTCTTCACACACACAAGACAGACTAGTCAACGTGTAGTCTTACCCTCCCTCCCCCACAAACAACCACATCACCCCAAAGCTATAGTCACAGACGAGGACATGCTGTCTCACCAGGACATGGCACAGTCACAAGCCAGGAAGTAATGCTAAGTGCCACTTGTGAAGACCTACTACACATCAGGCATTGCACGAGACATTGTCTTCCCTGGAACAGGCCCAGTGTTTTATAATTACTGACTCACAGTGAGGACATAAAAGACAAGGGGGTGAGCGACTTGGCCAGGTCACACATAGTAGGAGGTTTGAGTTGGCCCCTATGAACCAGGATGGGGAGCCAGCCCGGGCAGGTGTAGGCCAAGCCACAGAAGCAGGATTCCCTCAATGCCATGAACGCCCAGCAACAGGATGCCATACTGGGAGGTCCTCCACAGAGGGCTGCGTTGGTCAGGACTCCCCGTCAAAACCTGCAAATGCCCACGTTCACCTCGTGCTCCTAGAGCAAAATGAGGATGAAGAGGAGGGACAGGGAAAAAAGCGGGGGCCACCTCTTTGACACTCACTCACTGCCTCACTCACACAGCATTGCCAGGGCCACCCCTCTACCTCCCCCCGGCCCCAGGACACTGCACACACTTCACAGATGAGGCACAGGATGTAAGCAACAGGAAACAGGTAATGAGGCTGGATTGGAACCCCAGGAAATCGGTCCTGGGGTCCCAGTCTCGGTCATTCTATTCACTGCCTTCTGCTCACTGAGCTCCCCCTCCAGCCACCCGACAGCTGAGATTAAACAACGCATCAACCTCCATCTTGAAACATGTCTGGTCACTACACATTCCTGCTAATCCACTAGGGCTGAGACAGTGCCCGGGTGAAACCCACCACTGGTCTACAGCTCACCCATCCAGACCTCTGTCATTGTCCCCTCCCTTCTGTCACCCATAGCCTTTGCTGGATGTTAACAAAGTCCCCAGAGACACGGTGGAGACCAGGCAGCTTCGCCTTGGTTCGGTGTACACACCCGGGCACTGACAAGCACAGTGCCACACGCCCTACATGGGCGGAGGGCAGGACGCCAGCAGGAGTGTTGGGAAATCTGTGCACAAGAAGTGACACCTTGGCAGAGATCTGAGGGAGCCACAAAGCGGCCTGGCATGGCAACATGATGGTGGTGGGGGAGATGAGGGTTCCAGATGGAGGGAAAAATGAACAGCAGAAAATGGAAGCCATGGGAATGGCAAGATATTCTAAGGCTTGAGATTTGTGTTCTAGAAACATCACTTTGGCTGTGATACAGGGAGCAGATCGGAAGAGGACAAAGGAGGGGCCAGGAGGCCATCATGGCAATGCAGCCAGGGGAGGAGGTGATGCAGGTCCAAGTCCTAGAGGTGCAGAGAGGACACCCGCACAGCTGTGAGGGGGGATTGGACGAGGACAGTGAGGAAGAAGGAAGGGACCAGGGATGGCGGGTTTCTGAGCTGAACACCCCATAACCCACAGACAAATCCCACAGAGCGCTGTCTGGTGGGGAAGGGAGTGGCACTAGGAGATTAGGACGCGTCTGTTTGGGAAATGTTGAGGTTACTGTGAGGGGCCAAGAGGAGGTGCTGGGAAGACAGGTAGAGACGCACATCTGGAGTCCTGGAAAGGCATGCAGCAGCGAAAACTACTGTGAACGTGAGCGAGACCTCCAGGGAGCGTGTGAGCAGGATAAGAACAGGGCCTAGGGGCATGCAACGTCAACATTTAGGGGACAAACAGGACACAGGACACAACGGGAGGAGCCCTGGCCAGGAGCCAGAGCCCTGGGTTCTAGCCATGGCTTTGCCAATGACCATGGGGGTCTGAGTACATCACCTATGTTCCGTAACACTGGATGCTGGGCTAAGGTCCCTGCTTGCTCTCGCCTTCCTGTGTAGCGGATACACTCAGTTAGTACTTTATTATAATGTCTGCCTGTTTCACAAACATTCAGGTCCTCTGAGGGCAGGAGGGTTTTGACACATTTCTTTTGTGTCTCCATAGCACCATGTGAGGTGGCTGCTCAATAATAGATGCAGTTGAAAAACCCCTCGTCCTCCTTACTCAGACTGGCATTCCCAGCTTCACCCGTTCCGTGGTGGAAGCTTTTTACTCCAGCCCCCGCACATCTGCAGACATCATGAGACTTTATACCAGTGGCGGCTCCCTTTAAAAATGGAAATGAACTGAGTGCCAATGCCTGGAGAAGGCTCTGTGCCCAGCACCCACTGGCATCCAGGGCGTGTTTTTCCCCTTTAGATCAAATGGCGCAGTGATGCACAGGCCCTTTTTAATGACAAGTATAATCTGCTGAAATTTGAGGAGTAATGATGGGGTTTGATGCTGGGTGGAAAGTTGCAGAGTATTCGAAGCCGGTGATCAGTCTGGTAAGCACGCTGTCATTTCCCAGGATGCTTTGCTTCTCCTGCCCTCAAAGGAGGGATGCTGGCACTGAGCACATAATGACGGCCCCACAGAAGCCTGCGCTGCAGGAAAACGCAGACCAGGCAAGCTCGATGTTCTGACCGAAAATGGAGCTCTGCTGGGAGATTTAACCAGAGGTCTAGGACTCTGCCAGGCAAATCAGGGAGGGGGCAGCTGCCCTCTCAGCTGTACCATCTAAACCACGGTGTGGGACATCTGCACGCAGCCTCGGGAAAGACGCAGAGAGCCCCACCCAGGGCACAGACGCCTCTCCCTGGTTAACAGGCATTTCGGCAGATTAGTCCTGTCCTTCTGCCTACGAATTTCCAAAGCAGTCTGATATTTGACTCTGGTTAGTTTTCAATCTAAAACCTCAAGCCATGACCCTGCCCACACTGTTCTTACACCAGAAGCAGTCTATTACCTGAGGCACAAATGGAATGAAGTCAGGCCAGGAGAGAGGTCAGGTAGAAATAAATGAGTGAATCATGTCTATTTATCCACCACAATCAGACAGTACAGCAGCCAAGTTCATCTTATTTCAAAGTAGATAAAAGCAATGACTTTTAATAAAATGACATTTTCAGAAACAATAAATCCAATTGGTTGGTTTATTGGATAGTTATGAAAATTAATTAAGTGTAAATATATGTCTAACTATTAAAAGAATGCTCCCCATTATATTCCCAGTATGATCTGT